AGAAGAAATGATTGTCTAGATTCTTCTACCTGTTTCTCTTCATCTTCAGTCAAGTCACTCGAAGATAGGAAGTAAGCAAAATTACTCAAAAGCTGGCTTCTTACATCAGCAGAAAGCGTCTGTGTAGCTGTTGCAACATTTTCAACAAATAAAAACCAGTTTAGTTTACTCTGGCGCAAAATGCACATTATATTTGCTCAAATGATGGAACGCTACATTCCAGTGGATCAGGAGGTACATTTTCATTTCGCTCTCTATTAGGATTAATGGGTGAGTCTGATATACAATCATCTGCCATTTTTCCATCTTGATCTCTTTCTGAATCATCTTCTGATTCAAATTCTTTCTCGCTAAGCCAAGTACATGTTTCCCCAGATTCGGTTGATACAAGACTCTCATCATCACTTTCAATTACGATGCCATAGTTTCTAAGAACAGTTGCTTCTTCTATGGAAGCTAATTCATTGATTTGCTTTCTAATTTCTTCAACCCTGATTATGGCACTTTCTATTTCATTTTTTTGTCTGTTCCAATCAGATATTCCATACTTCTTCGCTTTCTTATTAGAGAGATCTGCACACATCGCATACTTAATAAGCTTTCGATCCCTTTCAGAAGATGCCAATTCACACAGGGCTACAAGTTTCTCTTTTGTAATAATGGGGAAAGAAGTAGTGCCTGCGGTGCTACTACTAGCGGACTTGATTAAGTCAACATATTTGATATAGTCAATACCTGGGTATTGTTCTATCATAAACAACGCCTGTGTTCCATTACTTGCGTTACCCAACTCAAAAACAGCGACTGGAAGGCCCATGAACCTGCGAACTGCCTTCTCACTTGAATATGTTACTTCACCAAAATGTTTCTTAAATGTGTCACTGACTTTGATCATTCCCTTTTGCTGAATTTCTTTAGCTGTATTTACAAGACCGCGGCACTGACTGCATGCTGAAATAACACCTTTCAAATTATGAAAGTTAGTACAATACTGCTGCCTGCATGCTATGTAATCATCAAGGGTTAAGTCTTTTAACTGTGAAATATAAACGCCACTTGATATCTTATACAATTCCTTTTTTCCTAAAGGTGAACGTGCATATCTTAAATACTTCAAATATGTGTCCGTATGTACATTTTCAGTTTCAAAAGCCAGTGCCGCGTCTTCTAAAAAAAGGTCTTTCTCGTCTGATTCATTTGTTTCATTATCTTTTCCCACTTCACTAACTGGATCCTTCTCCCGCACACTCTGGTTGTTTTCCTCCACCACTTGTATTTCCTCCTGAACATTATTATCAACTGCTGTTTGAGGTTTCAGATATTTGTCCATCAAATTTCCTTTATTCTCACAACCGGGCATCTTCTTATTTCCTTTCTGCCCAGTGTCCTTTTCTCTTTCCGTCAATGCAAGCTTCCTTTTTATTGACTTAGCTTCTTTCTGCTCTAAAGCGCCAAGCTTTCTAGACAATTGACCTTTCTCTTTTCTTGCAGAGCTGATTCTATCGAGGATTACTGATGCTGATCCAAACTGCTTCATGTTAACTAACTTACACTTCTCTCGTTCTAGCATTGCTAGCTTCTCATTTTGCTCATTGATTGAAATTTTTGTCTCTTCGATCAATGTTCTTCTCTCATTGGCTTCCAGCTTTGGTCTTTTTGCCTTGTTCTCTTCCATTGATGCAGCTCCATACTTCTTTGATCGTGACTTTCCTTTCTTGTAAACAAAACCGTCATTGTCGACTTTCTCTCTGGCCTTCTCAAGCAGCTCGCCTCTTTTTAATGTCAGTGATGGGTTTTCCATACATAATAATAAAGCACTTTCATTCATCTTCTTTTGCCATGTAGTAAGATCATCATCATTTTTAGATTTTTGACCAAACAGTTTACTATCTGCCTTTAAATCATCAACATTTACACCTACTTTTACTACATTCTTTGTGCGTTCCTCCTCCTCTGATTGAATAGAAACACGTGGTCCAAGTTTACCATCTTTTCCAATTGTACGCTGAGCAGATAAATGAGAAGTCTCATGACCGGTTTTCTTCATCACATCACCACATTCCAATTCATGTTCAGCGGGTTTCTTATTACCCAGCTCGCCGCCTTGTTGTTGTTGACAAAAAGCTTTCAGCTTTGACATGTTTTCAACTGATTGATGCGGATTAATGTCCACCCAATCTTCAAAATCCTGATCCCACTTCTGAAATACTATATTTTCTTCAAGTGGAACTAGGTCAGCAAACACTTTCTTAAATTCTCTATTGATATTGTCATAGTCTGGTACACTTAATTCATTTACATTTGTCTTCCACGAGATCTTTCGCTTATTTGTACCAAAAGAGACAAGGCAAACTTTTGATGTTTGATCTTCAGTCATCTGTAAAATAGCACCAACAACCCCAATCAGCACTAAAAATTTCAAATACTCGTGCAAACTTTGCCATTTATCCCTTTCATGCTTAATTTCACAATATTTATGCATTTTGTAGCCTGCATAGCAGTTGCTTTATTTTATTGAAGGTTTGAGGATTTGAATACTGTAAGTGGAATCTGAACAGGGAATTAATTTTTAAAAGTGGTTGCAGGCGTTTTATTTTTCTATCGCCCTTTTATTCTTTACCCTTTTTTCTCGCCCTTTTTTTCTTTACTCTTTTTTCTTCGCCTTTTTTGTAACCCGCCATTTATTCAAAACTCCTCAAAATGTTCAATAAAATAAAGCTACACCTACGCAGGATATGCCTTTTGGGAAGAGGTTATTTCGCTGGCCTCAGAGTGACAGAACGTAACAAAGCTACGGTCCAAACACCAACTCTAACCCAAATCCTTACCCTAACCTAATATTGTGGCAATTAATACACCAGGCGGAAATCTCAGTTTAAAGATAAAGAGCAGAGCCCAGTTTGTTTCTAAAACCAATCTTGAAAAAAAAAGTTTTGACGAAATGTCATTCCACTTTTCATGGCTAAATTTTACCAAAATTACACCTCAGAATTTCGCTTGCGCAAGTTTCAGCGGCGAAGGACATAAAATTAATTAAGTAAATTTTTTGACATTTTTACCATAAATAAAACACAGAACAGGTATTACGCCCGTGAACTCAAAACGCGTTTTCAGCTTTTAATCTTCGTGAGCAAGCGATTTTTAATTCTGTTGATAAACGACACCCTCCGGATTTGGAAAATTGATACCAAGAGCTGTTTTGCGAAATTGATAACGATTTCAAATTCTGTTCACTTTCCTTTTATACACACCTGTGTAAGTCTATATTATTATTTATCTGAAAGGAAGTCATAGACATACAAACGACCAACAATATGAGCTATAACTGGAAAATATAGTATTCTTGATCGCCAAAGTCAAGATCATATTTGTTGTTAGCCTGCGCAGCAGACGGTTCGTTTGGGGTCACACCCCAAACAAACTGTCTGCTGTGTAAGTCAAATGACAAGCATTAATGTGACTGATTGAAGTACTCAAATAATTAGCAAATATTGGTGAAGTAGTCTGCATGAAGTTGTTTTCCTTGTGGTGGTGAAGCAGTTTCGCAAATATGGCACATTCAACACTACAGGTACATATTATTACACATTACAAATCTGAACAACTTTGAGCTTTTACATGTAAAGCTTGCAGTATACAGTGTTCCCATGCAAGATCTGAAAAGGCATATATACAAGAGCCTGTTGCCCACTAGTTAAACTGTCTAAATATAAACTAGGTTGGTATAAATATATAGCAAAAGTATTAATAGTATATCGTATGACATATGAAATATAGTTAAATGAATATATATGGAATATATAATATATAAATACGTATTGTACAATAATACTAATATAATAATTCTATAGTACTTTTATACATGAGGATATGAATTGAATTAAAATACTTAAATATTTTCCAAGCAGAGCAGAAGAAAAAAACATGCCTGGATTTAACTATAACTAATTTAAGTTATCCATTTACAGGTGTATTAGTGTATATATACGTAAGGCACAACAAATTTCATTTGATCAAATGCATTTGATCAAAAGGTAGCATGCTAGCTTTTGTTCAAATGCATTTGTCACAATAAATTTGTCACAAATTTATCATCTACATGAGCAAAATATCTTTGACGTATGAAATTTGTCATATTTGCTCGTGTATTAAATGGCCAGACCTGTCAGAATTTCTGTTTCTGTATAAACAGAAATGGAGATCTGGTCCAGAAGTTTTTCAAATCTTGCTAGACCTTATGTATCACATTATTTTCTTGCATTCTGGCTGATCAAAATGAAACAAACTGGCAAAATATACAGGTAGAGGTACACACGTTTATAAATAGTTGATAAGGTCTATTAATGTGGCTATACAACAGGGGTGAATTTACTGGGGTCTGCGGGTGTGGGGGGTGGGGGTTGCACATCCCCCCTGGCCAGAGGGGGTGCAAGGGAGGGGGGGGTGCTATTTTTCATGATAAAGCAAAAAATTATTAGAGACAAAATGAGATACAGTAATTTGAACTGTGAACAACAATTATAATTCAAATACAGTAGTCAAGCAAGACTTTGCAGTAGTGAAGCAAGTTGATGGGCGGGCGGCACACATGACCGACACAACTCTGCACCAGAGCTGGCAGAGCACTCCCCCCTACCAGATCATGCTGGATCCATTCCTGCTATACAACCCCCTCCCCTCCAACCAACACCCACACACACACCCTCTCCCGCTACTTTTTGCCATATTGTTTGTTCCAATAATTATAAAATGTACTGACCACAAAAAAATTGTAAGTAATAAATATATTTACCCCTCCCAGGATATTCTATGATTCATGAATCATATTATAGAAAAATATGGAATACTAGTAAAAATGATCTGCTTTCATAGTTTGCTTTAATTTTTGCCTATAAAATGTATGAATTTATCAACTATTGTTCATAAATTGAAATTTCGTTTATAAATCATTAAAACTGTAATAGATTGCACCATAAAATTATCGTACAAACATAACGAATTTTTTCATGTTCAAAAAAGACAGAATGTAAAATAGTAAAATAATTTAATAGTCTTAATATATTAATAGTCTTAACCTTTTTAATACAAACTGCTCTTACTCTACAATTTTATATACTCTGCTGCAATCACATGCCAATTTGCCAAATGGGATATATATTAAAAAACTTTTAAAAACTGCAAAACCAAACTACAACTAGAAAACGTTTAAAATCACAATTTAAAACAATAAATAAACAATTTAAGAAAGAAAAAGAGAATTAAAAAGCAAATATTAATAAGCAATTTAATATTTTATATATAAAACCATTATAAACTAGACACATACCTTGTTGTTGTGCAAAACTATTAAATAATAGTTAAAAAGTCGCCATGACAGCCCTCAACCATGTGCGAGTAGCGCGACCGGAACCTGGGAAATTGGGAGCGAGTCAAATCCCCACCCCTACTTCCCAAGGGGAAATTTTCAAAGGCAAATCCTGACAAATCCCCGACCTCCACGGGCAAAAAATGCAGTCAAATACCATAAAATTCCCCACATTGCCCCACTATGTCCCGGGGGTGGGGGGTGGGTCGGGGTGTCAATTGATAGGTGCATTATCAAAATGAGAAAATGATTTATATGCTTTCCAAGATGTAATACTCAAATATTTGATAGCAAGAAAGTTAAAAGAATTAAGAGAAATACATCAGTGTAATTTCCAAGCAGCTCCTGCAATTTTACCACCATTTGCTGACCTGTAATATACACTTCACAAAACATTCCAATATTTTTAATATATTTTTAGCTGTGATTCTTCTATTACACATGTGGTTTAGTGAATGAACGGACAAAAAACTACTTGTCATGCTATGCATGACATCATCATTGGAATATTTCAATGAGACATTGTTACCATTAAGTAGTAAGTAAGAGTTTGTCATGCATTTGTAAATTCATTGGGCCTTAGACCACAATTAGCCATTAGCTATAGATCATGCAACACAGTTGTTTCATTGTGACTACTTCACTCTGCTTTGTTTTTAAACCAGATGGAAATTGGAAAGCCTTGCAGGCCTTTTAGGTTTGATTCTCATTCCCTTTAGGCTCAATCGCTCACTCATATGGTGTGACTCCTTCCTCAAAAGGAGAGAGTTCACTGCATGTATGCAAAATAATGCCATATAATTTTTAGGGTATCAACTCTTTACATTCAGTAAGATTGAGTCACAAAAAGTATAAAAGTAATTGTCACATGACAACAGCACATTGCATGTGATAAAGAGTGAAGCAGGTACTGTACATTCCTTAACAATATCTGCAATAACACAATCCATTTGGCCACTTTTACTGTATAAGTGGCTGATTATATGCATAGTAGAGAGGGCTATAGATTTAAATTCCCACATAACACAGTTATAAATTCTAAACATATACTCTCTCCTTTTTCAATTTCTTAGATCATGGACGAGAGGACATCTAATTGTTGGTACCAAGATCAAATCTTGTACAAAAATATGCTGCACCAACACAACAACCATATGGCCTGCAAAGATGTTTTGGGATGTAGCAGTTGAATTCTTTCTGCTGTCGGATTTCCATCAGCTGGTCATCATCTGGAATGGTAACCTCATAATCCTGGAAATGGCTGTTAAAACAGATGGTATCTAGTGGCTGCATCACAAACTGGATTGCTGCAAGAATTTTGGCAACAACTACAATTTTGCGAATCTTCCAAAACCTTGGCATATCATCATCATCGTAACCACTATGTATGATGGCATTGCATCTGTGTTTGGTTCCTCCAATAACAACCCATTTTGCCCTGAAGAAGGAAATGAAAAGGATATAACAGAATTTTAGTTACTTAAAGGGGAAGTCGAGTCCGTTCTGCGCATCGGTTCTGCTCATAACGATGTGAGGACCTCTAATGTGAACATTGCCCAAATTTCGTATGTTTCGAATTTTTCTGAACATAAACTCTATTCCATGTTCATTTAGAAGCATAGCGAACCAAAATGGTGTTAGATATTCAGACAGTACATCATATTTTAAAAAATATAGCAGTTCAAAATGTAAACAAACCGTTTGTTTGCATTACGGACTTGACTTCCCCTTTAACAAAGAGGGCATTTGAAACGAGACAAAGCTGATGAACCAATACTTCTTCTGAGGGGAAGTTAGTGTGGGAATGATAACTGTACAATGTAAAAGACAGGATATCCGCTACTCGAGCATGACTTCAAGAATCTGTATAAAAAGGACAAATACTTACTCAAATACGGAGGTTAGGACATCCACATTTAAGGGATATGACTGCTGGAGCAAATCATAATATTCTAACCTTCCAGCATAGGTTTCTGTGCCTGTAAATATTAAGTATAAATTAATCATATTTAGCATTAAAGTCATACTGTAAATGCATGTATACGTGGACCAATCTCATTTCCTTTTTCAAGGAACGTAGAATGGCTACCTTCCGGTGTGTTAATCCGGCAGCACAGTCCTTGGTGTCGTTTCGCCAACGAGTACGGCAAGTTAATAAAATTACCGCATGAAACTGCCAGCCGTTTAAAGTACGAATGTTTCGCCTCATATCGCATGCACCAAATTCTGATCAATGGTCCCAAACTGCAATAGTAACAAATGGATTTGTACTCGATCGTGAAAACACTTGGTTGAATTACACGTGTATACATTAAGAAATTGTAACATCTGTTAGACACCTAGTTGTCTCACGTAGCTAGTTTCCTGAGCAAATCCCCAGTTTGTGTCATCATGTTATATCTCGTTTGCTTACCGTAATATTGTTCTTGGCATGTGGATCATGTAGTGCATTTTAGGAATGATAGAGGCGTGTGGGTACAAAGCTCTGAAGGCCTCATGGTGGTTCTGGATCAGTACCTGTAGGTAGGGTATTTTCTGCTTGCTGATCAACGGCGAGAAGACAATATGCACAATTTCAAGAAGTGTGCAATATGCACTCCAGTGCTCATCATCTTCCGCGATGAATTCACCAATCAGAAGCGGCAGAAACAACCCAAGCACCACATCTCATTTGCTGTAACATAATTAAGGTGTACATTACATGTGGGTTTTTCGTGTGTTGGGCGGGGGACACCCTACCAAAAAATTTTAAAAATCGGTCCTGTTTCATTATGTGGAGGCATTTAGTGAGAAAAAGTTTCCAAGGGGATAAAAATTTTGTCGACGGGGCGAGGTCATCACGTTTTGGGAAAATTTTTTTTAAGTCTGCCCGAAAGGAACGAGTCGAACGAATTAGCGACATAATTATGTGAATGAGACGTCAGCACGAAAACACGCCCACGCTGCATGTTGGTAAACACTTCGTTTATTCGTAATATTTGTTAGGAGATAAAATTCATGCACGAAATTTCACGAATATACGTTGGTGATATCAGTTGAAATACTTTCATGCGTACTTTATTAATCAAGAGCTTTTAATGTCGCTGGGAATGATCTCTGATAGAAGTGCATGCTGACGTATTGCAAGTTCTGTCTTACCATGTTGTTTGAGGCTATTGTCTTCGGAAGTCAGTTTTGTCCTCAATATTGGCGCAGGTTTGTGGAGTCATTATGATACCTGAAATGTTGGAATTGTTAAATTGGATCTTAGTGTTATATTAAGGGAATTTAAGGCTACATGGCAGTTGCAAATAATATAGTACGACAGGTCCAAGACGTGAAAATACCAAAATCGAAATGAAACATTAACATCAATTGGCAAAAATAATATTTGCCATTTGGGCATGACATTAACATTTTTATTTCATATTATGTTTTTATAATATAGTCATTCACCGTATATGAGCTGTTTTGCAATCTGATTGGTTGAATTACTCGCCGTATATCAGCTCATGTACGGCGAGTAGCGAAAAACAAGATGGCGGTCCAAAAACTACATGAGTTTTGCGAAGCAGAAAAAAGGAAAATATTGGCTTTGAGAAAGATAATAGTACAAGGAAAAACTCTCAGAAAATTTGACAGGTTAGCAAAACACATTTAGTACATAGAAATTAGTTTAAATACAAGTTTTTAAAGAATTAATACTGAAATAAGAGCGAAAAAACATGTTCATTGAGAATATAAATTGTTCAGAAAAGTTTGCAACGAAAGACAAGTGAATTTGCAGTCAACAAGCACTACCAAACATCTATATAATATATCTGATCTTTTTTGTGAGATATACCAGTTCTAAAACCATTTCTTTCACTTCGTCTTCGAGTTGTAAAACAAAAGTATTTTAATGGCAAAGGTGTTTTTGGCCCGAACAAATTGTCAAGACATTGTAACAGAGGATAATTAATTATTGCTTCAGTTAATGGCTATTATAAGACTATATTATAAAACAATTATACCATTCGTTCTCGTCGTATATGGCTGATAGCCGTCTCGGTGCTACGCACCTCGTCGGCTATCAGCTCATATACGACTCGAGCTCATGGTATAATTGTTAAATATCTTACTGGTATAGTAATGCAAAAAGGTCTCAAGAGAGCATAGTGAATATTAGGAAGATATTTTTTTAGTGTTTTACAAAGCATGTTTACAAAGTGAGCTTTCGCGTAGCACATGAGCGCATTTGAAATTGGATAGCTTGCATGTTGAGATTTTCAAGGTCTAGGTGGTCATGTTAAAAGTCAATTATTGTCATTTGGTTTATTACATGGGGTTTAAAATATTTTTTCCCTTCAAATTGTGTGAAATGTGTCAGTTAATAACTGCTTTCCTGTTTTGTATATAAAATACCAGAATAAATTTTTGTGTATTTTAGCACATGTTCTCGCCTTGGAGCAAGTCCACACATAAAGAAAGTGGCGCTTCGCCTTCGGTCTTGGCGAAAATCATATATCAAATAAAGTAAAAATCAAAGGTAAGAAAGTTGTATGGATATTTGTACCAAGCACATGTTCACGCATAGTAAATGTTTTATTAATGTGTAACTCTGCGCATTTCTCTTTTGAATATAAAAGACGGACTTGATTTACATAAGTCTACCACATGGAACATTGTTGATGGACTTGTAACAATAAACAGGAAAAAGTAACAAAAGTTCTACTTTGTCGGTCCCTTGCTGGGATTTAATTTTGGCACTATTAATAATTCAAAGCCGTTTTAGGAGGAACAATTCCCTCAATTCACGAATATATAACTATATAAGATACTTCAAAGTTTTATACGAACTCTTTAACTTGGATTTTTAATATTGAAGCCGTAAATTTGTTTGGACGGCATCGTATATGCAGGCCTTAATTACATATCATTTTTAGGATCTTTATACAATATATTTGTTTAAATGCAATTATATAGAGACCTAGACTTATAATTTTTATTTTTTAGGCACTCACTAGCTTATATTTGTTTAGACGCAATTGCATAACATTATAGACTTTGATTTTTTATTGTGCTGAGTGGTTATATTACTATACCTTAAGGTAGCAATATAATGCACCTGCCGACGGAATCCCCCCCCCCCACCCTGGGGAAACATGGGGCATAGGTGGGGGATGATGGGGCTTTAATCGTTTCATTGTGCTCCATGGGGTGGGCGCTTAGGCAATTTTCGTCAACCTCAAATATTTGGGTTTCGCGATATACCTGCGAGCAGGCATACTTGAGGACGAGATTGGGCATGATTATGTCAGCTTTTAATTGTGTGTGGTTCTAGTAGGGGCTTTTGCTTATTTTGCTTGCCCCTATGGGTGGGGCTTTTTCTTTCATTAGTTTCTAAAAAAGTCTATGCCCCATGTTTCCCTGGGGGAGGGGGGGGTTCCGATGACAAGTGCATAACCACTCAGCACAGCATTTTCACTTTGGTACTACCTACATTGGTACAGACAGTCCCTTATTGTGCCCTTATATAGGATGATTTTCTAGATAAAGTTTTACAATTGTACAATTTATAAGAATTCCGAATTTTAATGTACTGCATTTGTAGTGAGCCCAAAAAATTTCAGGGAAAGGAAAAATATAATTAATCCATATTTATGGTTGAACTGTGTCTAAATAATTTTATGCTTTATTTTTTTACTTACCCATAATCGAAGGAGACGATTCTGTTATTAAGCTCATCCAAAGTAAACGTTTTCTGCTCTAGAATGTAAAACTTCAACAGCTCTTTGGTATGATACAGGGTTCGAATTAATTCTGAAAAAATGGTTCGTGAATTAATTTTTTTTATTTTAAGGAAATTTTAAGGAATTTTCAAGGAATTTTCTCCAATTGAAAGTTAAAAAGTGGAAGCACTGCAATTTTCAAATATGTAATATACATCGCAAACTCGCAAAGAAATATAATAATTTTGGGTGGAATTATAATCGTTTTTAAGTACAATCTAACAAGAATATCTTCAGAATGTATGATCCTTCATCACATTTACAAAGAACTGAATTTATTATTGTATATTTTTATCAATTTGAGTGACTTTTGATTCGTGATTTTGATCAATTTCTATGAAATTGGGTTCGTGAAAAATGAAAATCGATTCGTGATTCACGAATCACGAACCGTTATTTCGAACCCTGTGATATTGCAACACTCCTTCTAGGACATCGTGCATAGCATCAGCAGGCAGTCCACCAACAACATGATAGTACTTTGAGTTGTTCAATGAAGACCTCCTATTCAAGCCATATGCCATACTGAAATAATCTGCTTGAGCAAGATGTCTGCAGTGAACCTCGTAGCCAGCCTTTGTTCGTAGGGTAAAGTCTGATTCATGAAACTATAAATTAAGTTATACACTGTATCATATATTGGATGTATTTTGGTACTCGGTATAGGATACAAGATATACTTGAAGAGTTAAATTTTAATTGTCTTTAGGGAATTCATAAATTCCCAAAATATCCTGGGGGCACTAACTTTGGAACCAACTTTTGGGGCATGGTCTCTCGAAAATATTTTTAAACTTCAGCCTCGCTTCAGAAATGGGATTTCTAGCATATCCAGCATTCTGTGAAAAAATTATATGAAAAATAAATACAAGATTTTGTTGACAAACTTTGTCTTGAAATCAGGAGCGTCCACGTGCCCTTGATTATCCTGTGTTGAACAGAGTTATGAAAAAGTGAAATAAAAACTGGAACGCATAATTCTGTTCTTTGTGAATTGATTGTTAAAAGTCAAAAAGAAGAATATAATTGTCCAATAATTTTGTGTAAGAATCACAAATGCACAAATATGTTATTAAATGCCTATTTCAGATTTCAGTAGATGCCTATTAGTACACTGTATACTGTACCTTGGTTTGAATTTGCTCTGCAAGTGCCATGCATTCCCTGTATTTTCGGTGTGCTTGAGATCCCTCCTTAAAGCCACCTAATAGTTGTGATCCAAGATTATCTCCAGAGGAATATGCTATAGTCCCTCTGAAAAACCTCTTTGTACCATGTACATCAAATTCAACACCAGTGTCCTAAAATAAATTTTAAGATAAAATCAGCTGAATTAACTCATTAACACTTATATACTTGGCTTATTAAAATATAGATTACCACTGGCAGATACAGTACCTCCTCAAGTTGTCTGATGTCCTTCATGATAACTTCAAGGATGGATTCGACTCCGTATTTCTTGAGATGCTGGCTGTTGACAATGGCGACCAGTTGAATTGCACTCAGACTTGATCGTTTCTCAGGTGAAATGTTGCCCAGGGTGTAGTAGAAGTTGCCTGAATTATGAACTCAGGTAAATACATTGTTTAAATATTCTGTAAAATTGACATATTTTTTAAGTTCTTATGGACCATGTTTTAAGTCATCAATGTCCCTAATTTTATGCTGCAAAACTACTAAGAGCACCGTGTTTACTTTATCTAACATCAGAAAATATTGTTACTGCATGCATGTAATCATAGGCAGATCATCTGGGGCCAGTTGTCCAAAGCTAGGTTAAAACTAATCCTGGGTTAAAACTTAACCCTAGGTTTTAGTTTGTGTGTTTCTGCACACTTGTTTACTTTGAAAGTGTAAAGAAGAAAACTCGTATTAATCCAGACAAGATTTCTGAAGAAATATCTCTGAATTCACATACAATCTATGAGAAAATTTGGTTTGAATTTTAAGTTAACCCAGTATTAAACTAACCGGCTTTTGAACAATTGGCCCCTCTGAATGGTTAATCTGGTTTACCTATTTTATGTGTGTTTGCCCGAGACCCGAGGGGGTTGCATACTTCTAACTCGTCAAAAAATAGGAATATTTGAAGAGCATGCCTATAGTGAAAAGAAAATTTGTAATGTATACAGTCCAATATTCTGTTGTATAAGAAAGGCTATAAAACCATACATACCTATCCTCACTGCTTGAAATTCTTCCCTGTCACAATAGTCACCCAGCAAGCCATCATCACGGTTGTGCGGGTTGTCAATCTGAATATTTAGTTTACAATGGTTGAACAACATTGAATTAATTAAATCGAAAATCAACAAATTGATAAAGAAATTGTAACCTCTTCAACAACAGCATCATTTGTTAAAAACTGTTGAATGCTTCTAAGGATTGGGACATAATAGGCCTTATCCTGTTTTTCAACATCCACAAGTTTTCTGCCTTTTCTAGTCTTTTGTGGTATCGACCCAGGACAATCTTTTCGGGCTCCTGTATATGTAGTGTAAAGGATAGATGAGTCAAAACAATAGACAAGTACTATCAACATAATAAATGTATGCCACAATGTATGCCGCAACAGAAAAATGTAAGCAAAACAATAATATGTCATGTAATGTTTATATATACAGTATAGAGTATAGAGTATACAGTATATAAGATTGTATACTGTATATATCTATATATACAGGGTGTATAAAAAAAAACTGAACAGATTTAAAATTGCTCTCAATTTCGCAAAACAGCTATTTGTAGCTGGTTTTTTATATATATAGCTTCTTTGGGTACTTATAATGTAAAATAATGAAAAAAAATTCTCAAACTTAAATTTTGTGAACCAGGGGGGGGGGGTGTCTTTTCCAACAAAA